AAATTAGATTCAAATTTAAGTGGATGTAAGCATTAGGTTGAATATAACTATTAATAACTAATTTATGAATCGGTTTTACATTACAAATTTTGTATAAGTATTGTTTTGTGAGATCTCATATCGGTTAGAGAGAGGAATATCTCATATAGGTTGGAGAGAAGAATGAAACATTTTTTTTATAAGTGTATAGAAATGTCTCTCTAGCAGACGCATTTTAAAAATCTTGAGGAGAAGCCCGAAAGGAAAAACCCATGTATTAGTGGTGGGTTTGAGCTGTTATAAATGGTATCGAGCCAGATACGGGGTGATGTACTTGTGAGGAGACTAAACCCTCGAAAGGTGGTGGACACGAGACGGTGTGTCAGCAAAGACGTTGGGCCTCATGTGCTAGCGAAGAGGCTAAGCCCCAAAGGGGGGTGTACACGAGGCGGTGGATTGTGAGATCCCACATCGATTGGGGAGGAGAACGAAACATTATTTATAAGGGTGTGGAAACATTTCCGTAGCAGACGTGTTTTAAAGACATTGATAAAAAGCTTAAAAGGAAAACACAAATAGGACAATATCTACTTGCAGTGAGCTTGGACTGTTACAAAAACATTCATCATAAGGGTATGAAAGCTAGTAGACACGTTTTATTCCTTATAAGGGTGTGGAAGCTAGCAAACCTCTTTCTAAAAGACACGTTTTATTCCTTAATCTGCTAGCTATGGTCTTAGACTGAGAAATGACATTAGAGTCAGATACCGAGCGATGTGACAGCAAGAACATTAGGTCCCAAAGAGTAAATTGTGAGAAGATTCTACCTCAATTGGTGACGGGAACGAAATCAAGCTTAGACTATTACAATTATATTTTATTAAAACATAGTTAAACTAGAAAAGAGTCATTAATCCTTAAGTTGGATTGAAATTAGTTTTCAACCATTAAAGCTCGTGGATTTAAGGAATAGCTATCAATACAAAACTCCAAACTGTTTTAAGGTAGTTGACTTTAATGAATACATGCAGTGTGTTAGTGTCAGCTTTCAACGTCTATAAGAATATGTAAATATAAAATATTAATTAATATGATATAATTTTTATTAAACAATAAAATAATTTAATTTTAATTAGAGTTCATAAATTTTAATTTAAAAAAAAAACTATGTAGAGTTCATAAATTTAATTTTTAAAACTAAAAAAATAAAATAGTAAATAGTTTTCCAATTTTAATTTAAATTTTGAATAAAGATAAAAAAAATATACTAAATTAATAAAAATATCTCTTTATTTTTTTTAATAAAAATAGTTAATGATTTGTTTTTAAAATACTTTTAAAGTATACAGAGTTTTATTTTAATATTATATTTAAAAAATATCTACGAAAGCATTAACATCTTTTACTATTATAAAAAAAAATTTTAAAAAAATTATTATCTATATAAAAAAAAATCATCTATTAACTTATAGAATTATATTTAAATTTTTTTAATGTTACTTATATATTTTTAATTTTTTTTTAAAAATGATAAAAATATTTTTGAAATTTATAAAAAAAGTTTAAAAATATTAATAAAATTTTGGAAAATCAAAAGTATTTAATTTGTAGAAAAACTAAGGGTAAAGTGAATGGACGGTTGGGATTTGAGATACTTTACAGCCGTTCATTTAAATTTACAGACCACGTGAATGTGGACCCCACTTGTTGAAGGCTAGGCCATAACTTTAAAAATGGAAGTTTCGAAGAAAATTTGGGCATGCAATTTTAAAGTCAAGTTCGTCTATAATATATCAAACCTTGTCAAATTTGGTGTTAGTTGAACACTCGATAAACGCTCCACGATACCATACCTTTGATCACTAAAATCATGTCGCTATCCATCATACAAAAAATGCATCAAAATGTACCTTTGGGAGAGTCATGATGTCAGCTCTCAATTACTCCCATAGTATGTTGCCCAAACAATCAAACCTTATGTCAGAGTCTTTCATTAGGATGTTCCACCAGCTTTAGAAACCGAATATGGTGGCTTATTGAATTGAACTCGAAATTTTACACCAAGATAATTGGATTCGTTTCTCAATTTTATGGTTTCTTTTTTGTTTAACAAGAATTAAGTTGAGAATTATGGTAAATCTTCTACTTTTATACCAATTGAAATCATCATTCAAACCAAAAATCAAGCTAACCCTTGTTAGGTGGGATTCTTAGGAAGACCAAAAGGGTGTGATTTATCATAATGAATCATCATGGTAGGTACAATATTCAAATTTTTGAGGGAAAAAAAAAAAAAAAAACTAGAGTCCCTCTTTTACTTATGAGGTTTTGTCATTTACGACATAAATAAGGCTAGCCACCCTAGTCGAAGAAAAAAAAGATTGGAAACTAGTACAAATCTCTAGGGGTACGCTTCAGTTTCGAGACACATTAAGAACGTCGAGGTACCTAGTTGCTCAGATAGCAATAAAACCTAGGCTTGAACTTCTTAGAGGCTAGAGTAAGGCTTATGGATACTTACTAGGTAGAGGTTGAGATCAAGGAGCCTTTTCTCAGTGGTGTTTGGCAATAGCCCGTTAGTGAGTGCTAGTCTAACAAACCAGGCTTAGAGGGTGTGCGAGCCCGCCTAGTGAGTCCACACTTGCCTGCGTTGACCATATGTAAAGAAGTATTATACATCTAATCTTGCCCGAACTAGAATGTTGCCTAAGGTCATGCTATGATATGTTAAAAGAATATATTCAAATTGCATGTGTTTGCATTTCTTGACCCCGATAATGGAGTTACTTATTGAGTATTTCTTAAGATACTTAAGTCATGTGCTACTCTTACATTTCAGGTAAAGATAAGGCACCTCTGTACGGATGATGGCGGTGTCGCAATGAAGACTATGAAACTAGTGTTAGAGTAATGGTGTTATGTCTTTTTGTAGCCCTTAGGTTAGAGGAGGTCACTGATTTGTTTTTCCACTTCGTTTCAAATGCTACATTATTATTTTATGCTTTGTGTATTTTTTTTTTATGGTTTTAACATTTAAGTCCATAACATCATTTGAAATTATTTTAAATGAACATTTCCGCACTTAACAATCATGTCATCATGTCATGCATTCAATAGTAACTTTATTTTTAATAGAAAAATCGTGAAAAAGATCATTATAAGAGGTAGATTATTAAAAATTATGAAATTATGAAACTAGAACTCTAAATTGAGTTTCGATGAAACCGAGAGCCTATGATTTAGATACATAGCATTAAGTATATTATAAGATTTAAGAACTATATAACATTATACGAATGGACATAAGACTTAGTAAGAGCTTATAAATAAGCTACTTCTTAGATTTTTATACTCAATCAGCACGCTACTTTTCTTTTATTGATGAAACATAAGTTGCGCAACATAAAAACATGTGCTCGCAAGCTGTGAAATTTTGGGAGCTGAGATGGATCGGAGTCGCAATTTTAACCGACAGAGGTGGTTGAATTATCTTTTAGCCGACCGAGGTGGTTGCTCCTAATAAATTATATTATGTCATGTGTGAACATTTAAAACTTTTGGTTGGTATATAGGTGGTTGAAGTATTTTTTGGCCGGCAAAGTAGTTGCTCCTAATAAATTAGACATGTTAGTTCTTTTTTCTATAAGTACCCATTAAGTGTGGTAGTCGTTCGGAGAGAAGAAATTTTCCTACATTCACAGGTAGCAACCAATTACTAAGAATCAAAGTGTTTACAAGTGAATACCTCACTCTCACACTACAAAGTCACTCAAGAAATACAATGTGAAACACAAACTCAATCAACTCAATCAAATTCCGATTGTAATGGCCTAGATCCACACCCTTATAAAGGGTGTTTTGTTTTCCTTCCCAACTAATGTGAGACATCACAATCCACCCCTCTTGGGGGTCAGCGTTTTCGCTGACACTCGTTCCTTTCTCCAATCGATGTGAGACCACCACCAAATCCAGTCCCTTTGGGACCCAACGTCCTTATTGGCACATCGCCTTGTGTCTACCACCCTTCGAGGAACAACGAGAAGGCTAGCACATTGTCCGGTGTTTGACTTTGATACCATTTGTAACGGCCAAGATCTACCACTAGCAGATATTGTCCTCTTTTGGCTTTCCCTTTCGGGTTTCCCCTCAAGGCTTTAAAACGCATCTACTAGGGGAAGGTTTCCACAGGTTTCCACACCCTTATAAATGGTGTTTTGTTCTCCTCCTCAACCAATGTGGGACATCACATTGATACCCTCAACCTCCTAGACAAACCCTTTATAGTTTGAATCATCAAACGTTGTGGAGTTAAATAAGTATTAAAATGAACACAAAATTAATAATCAAATTAATAATATTCTTATTTAATCAAAACCAAATTGATGTGTGTTAATAACTAAATTAAATAAAAAACTTATGACAATTTACTACATTAAGAATGACCTTGAACCTTGTAATCATGAACAACATTAATAATCATGTATATGAATTACTTTCCAAGTCTAATTTATTAAGAAAGTAATTCATATATGTTCGATGAAAGTTCCACGTCGACTAATTTAGGGAATGATTATGGGTTTATAATCAAGAAATACTATTTTTATTGACGTCGGCTAATTTAGAGAATGATCACCGTTTATAATCAAAAAATACTATCTTTATTGGTATGAGGCATTTTGGGAAGTACTAAGCAAAGCCATGAGAGCTTATGAATATCACTTGTGGAGGATCGTGTTCATCTAACATGGGATCAGAGTCATATCCTAAACTTAGTCATATCAATCGAATTCTCAAATGTCAAACCAAGTATTGTGAGCCTCTAACACATAGTCAGAAAGTGACTAAAGTATCTAATTTTTTTCATATACATGTGGTTGCTCGTCCTTTCTTTATTTCTATTAAATTAGACTTAATAATCATGAACGACCTTGAACCTTATAAAAAGGAGGGAACCGCAGGCTTCAATCCATTAAGAACAAAAAAAAAGCTTTTATCTGAAACACTCTCCAAGATCTAAGCACCCAAACCCTTTCTCCTCTTGAAGCTCAATGGCTAGCGGTAAATGAATTACTTTCTTTTATTTTTCTTCGTAATCCATCATTCCCCCATATTCGTTCGTCCCAATTTCCATCCAAAATTCTTAACAAAATACTCTTAGGTCAAATATTTTTTCATAAATATTTGTGTTAGGAATCACGGATCTCCACAATAGTATAATATTGTCGACTTTGAACATAAATTCTCAAGGTTTTGTTTTGGACGTTTCCTCAAAATGCCTCAACCAATAAAGATGTATTTCTTACTTCGTTCGTTCTAACTCCCAATTTCCATCCAAAATTCTTAAGGAAATACTCTCATTTCAAATATTTTGTCATAAATATTTGAGGTCCTATTTGAGGTCCCACGTTAGTTGGAGAGGAGAACGAAACATTTTTTATAAGAATGTGTTAGGAATCACCGATCTCCACAATAGAATGATATTGTCCACTTTGAACATAAGCTCTCAAGGTTTCACTTTGGACATTTCTCCAAAAGGCCTCAACCAATGGAGATGTATTCCTTACTTATAAACCCGTAATCATTCCCTAAATTAGCCAATGTGGGGCTATCTCCCAACAATCCTCTCTCTAGCAGACAGATTTTAAAGACTTTGAAGAAAAACCCAAAATGGAAAACCCTCCAGAGGGAAAACTCACAGAAGTGAACTTAGACCGTTACAATTGTGTTCTTCCCTAAACTTTGTGTTTCACGTGTTTGCAATTACAGATACAGATAGCAGTCAGCTTATATTAATAAGACGAAGCAACTTTCCCGAAGACTTCGTATTTGGAGCAGCATCTTCAGCTTACCAGGTTGAGTAAAAGTTACATATACAAACAATAATAAATTAAGAACAAAGAATAAGTATTGATTTTCTATGGTTTGATCAGTATGAAGGTGCTGTTTATGATTATGCCCAAGGAGGTATTGCTATTGTTCATGGCAAAGGGCCAAGTATTTGGGATACCTTCACTAAAAACCATCCAGGTATCTCTCTTTCTCTCTCAATGTTGCTTATTTTGTTGAATAGGACACACAATTATGGGTCTCAGTGTTGTTTATTTGTTAAAATTTCCGAGAGGGTTGTTGATCACAGCAATGGAGACATAGCTGTTGATGAGTATCATCGCTATAAGGAAGACGTTGCCCTCATGAAGGACATAGGTTTTGATGTTTATAGATTCTCAATTGCTTGGTCAAGAATTTTTCCAAGTAAGGGCTAAGAGATGAATTTATTAATATTTTGGAAGCTTAAGTTTATGAACATTAATGTTGTTGAATTTCAGCAGGAAAGCTTTGTGGGGGTGTGAACCAACGGGGAGTTCGGTACTACCATAATCTCATCGATGAACTGCTTGCAAATGGTGGGTTCTTCTTCTATTATTCATTTAATTAGTGATTGATCTCATTGATTATGTTAAGCTAAGTTTTATTAATCTCAAAATGGGTCATATAATTTCCATTTGTTGGCATCAAACCTTATGTCACACTATTTCATTGGGATGTTCCTCAAGATTTAGAAACGGAGTACGGTGGATTCTTGAATCGTCAAATTGGGTAAGTAAATTTGTATACCATATACCATTATCATTTTGAAGAGAGTGATAGCTTTTAAGAATCACAGATCTCTACAATAGTATGATATTGTCCACTTTGAGCATAAGCTATTATGACATTGCTTTGAGCTTCTACATGCTTCTATAAAAACCTTCGTATAAATGGAGATAGTATTCCTTAATTATAATCCATGATAATTTCCTAAATTAACGTATGTGTGACTTTCATCCAATAATAGCAACCTGAGCGACTAAATTATTTATATGTAGACTTTAATTATCTTTATTTTTATTTATTTATTTATTTTGACTAAGAGGTTTAAATTATCATATCATTAATGCTAATTGATTTACATAATCTAATAACACATTCACTACAAAGTATTCAAATTACATTAATATTGTAATGAAATATTATTTTAGTCTTGTTTATTACCAAAATAAATAAAGTCTTTAGTAACATTTGCTTTATTTTAGATTTACTTTTCTAGAAATAAAATCTTCAATCATAAACAAATTTGATTTTCAATTGGTAAGAATTGGAAGAAAAGTTCGTAATAGGTCAGTCGATTGTCTAGCAAATATTATTCTTTTTGAGTTTTTTATTTTCGTATTTTCTCAAGGTTTTTAAAACAGGTCAGCTAAGAGGTTTCCACACACTTATAAAGAATTTTTCGCTCTCCTCTCCAATCAATGTGGATCTCATAATGTTTGTAACAGTTCAAGCACATCGCTACCAGATATCGTTCTCTTTAGACTTTCCCTTCAAAGGTTTTCCCTTAAGATTTTAAAACACAGTACTAGATAGAAGTTTCAGTATCTTTATAAGGAATGTTTCATTTCTCTCTCCGACTGATGTGGGATCTAACATCCCACATTGTTATAGAGGGGAACAAAACATTCCTTAAAATGTGTGAAAACCCCTTCCTAATTTATGCATTTTAAAACTGTGAGCCTGACAACGATACGTAATGGTCGAAATTGACAATATCTACTAGAGTTTGGGCGGTTACAAATGGTATTAAAGCTACACACCAAGCAGTGTGCCAGCGAGCATTCTGGTCCTCAAGGGAGATGGATTGCGAGATCCCACAGGTTGAAATGAACAATATCTACTAGAGTTTGGGCGGTTACAAATGATATTAAAGCTACACACCAAGCAGTGTGCCAGCGAGCATTCTGGTCCTCAAGGGAGATAGATTGCGAGATCCCACATTGGTTAGAGAGGGGAACAAAACATTTCTTATAAGGTTTGAAAACCTCCCTTAGAAGACATGTTTTAAAATCGTGAGACTGACGACGATAAGTAACGAACCGAAACAGATAATATCTAGTAGCGGTAAGCTTGTGCTCAAATAATTTAGAAAAGGAAAAAAACTTTATTCAAATAAAAAGAATGGTGTAAATTATTTGCAGAGATGATTTTCAAGGCTTCGCAGAGTTTTGTTTCAAGGAGTAAAAATGAAACATTGGATAACCTTAAATGAACCAGTCATGTTCGCATCCAAAGGCTATGCAACTGGAGAACTCGCACCCGGTAGGGGTGCAGAGTGGGATCCAAGTCGCTATCTTGGTGGTGATTCTGGCACCGAACCATACACCGTTGGTCACCACCAAATTCTTTTACATGCTACGGCTGCCAACCTTTACAAGACCAAATATCAGGTTCTCTTTTGTTGTTGAATAAAGTTTAAGTTGGGAGCTAATGTTTATGCATATTTAAATTGAATGGTACTCTTAGGCAGACCAAGAGGGTTTGATTGGCATCACATTGGCATCAACATGGTACATACCATATTCAGATTCTGAGGAAGACAACAAAGCTAGAGATCGGGCTTTTGATTTTTCACTTGGTTGGTAAGTAAATTAATATCTCTAAGAACTCAACATTTTGTTGCAAATATATGACCAAAGAATTAAATGCATTTAGGATGTTGCATCCAATTGTTTATGGAGATTATCCACAAAGCATGAGAGATTTGGTGGGGTGGAGATTGCCCACATTCACAAAGGACGAAAGCACTTTCATCATGAACTCCTTTGATTTTCTTGGCATAAACTATTACACAGCTAATTATGCAAAACACAATCCCAATAACGTTCACCGAGGCGAAAGCTCTTTGAATGATATTCATGCAACTCTTTCAAGCATGCACTCTTTCAAATATACATTTTAATTCATCTATACTATGACATATCTATTCTATAATTTGACTTTTTATATAATATCTTTGCAATGTAGCTGATCGGGATGGAATCTCAATTGATCCAAAGGTAATAGGGTTAGAACTATTATGACAATAATAGTGTTTGAAATTGTTATTTTGAAGTTTAAATTCCTTTTATGCCTATTTAAATCCAATAATTTGCTATTTATGAATGGTGTAGGCGAGTCCAAAGTCTTGGCTAGCCGTTTATCCCAAAGGAATACAAGACTTGTTGATATATATAAAGGATAATTATCACAATCCAATTATATATATCACAGACAGAAAATGGTATTGAAAAGGGATTTATAATTTAATTATATGTTTAATTAGTTTGTTTATTAGTTAAACTTTACCATGGATACCTCGACTTTGATAGCCCCAATGCTGAATATTTAATAAGAGACGAGGGCAGAGTCAAATATATTCATGACCATCTCATTTATATTCTTAAAGCATTGAAGTAACAAAGCAAAAGATTAGGTTATCAATTACTTGTTTTTAATTATGATATTTTAGTGAAACATCTCTTCCTACTCAAGAACATGAGTTGATTGTAATTATGTTATATTTTGGAAAATGTTGTAGAGATGGTGTAAGGGTACATGGCTATTTTGCATGGTCATTATTGGACAACTTTGAATGGACATGTAGATACACTATGCGCTTTGGTCTCACCTATGTTGATTTCATGAAGGGTTTGATGAGAATTCCGAAAGACTCATCAAAATGGTTCTACGGTTTTCTCAAGACCTGAAAACGATACACAAACCTTCTATATTGTATGCTATATTATCATTTTGTGTGTTGTTATTGCAACCTTCTAGAGCACTTACTACTAGGAGAAGATACTAAATAAATTGCAATAATAAATGCTTTTATTTTTGACGAAGTAACTTTATGTTTTCTATCGATGGTATTAAGTAAGAGTTGTAGCATTTTGATTTTATACCTTTAAAAAGTTGGAGCTTCAAATTTGGAGTGTGTTTAATAAGTATCAATTGCAAACTCATTTAGTTTAACCTTAGAAAGTTACTCTTATATTTTTTTTTCACATAATAGTCTATCGGAAAGTTACCCATGGATAAATTAGTCTTACTATTTACTTGGTTGGATGAATTAAATAAAGTATGAACGACATATGTTTTGATGCCCTCCATATGTAGTAGTCTATGATTATATAACATGTATTGTGTTATATTGTGCTATGACTATGTATGCTATGTTATACTATGACTTATGTCATAATACATTATAGTGTAAGTTAGATTATTAGATGTTCATGTTATGTTATGGATCTTGTTTTGACTTCCATGTCATATGATGCATAATACCTATATATATATGTATTGTCATGCACACTATGTTAGCATGATTACTTCCTGACTGTGAAATATTGTTATGCCACGTGTATTCTTGCATCATATGTTTATGTCACAAATTAAAATCAGAAGGACTTCATGCATTTTATATGTCATGTGCATCAGGATACTTCTCTGTTGTGATGAGTATGAATGTGTACATTACAATATCCATATATGATATGATATTATGTTGGCTCTTTTCTCCTCCATGGCTCTAACATCATGAGCGTGCACTAGTTGAAGGGTATGTCCAAGAGATACGTATATGCCCACTTGGTGAGTTCATGTGCGCGTACATGAGCTGTGTGTAGAGAAGTACTATACATTCAATTTTTTGCCCGGACGAAAAAGCAGAGTTCAAAACCATGAAATATTTTTTTTTTAAAGGATAGGTCCCACCATGATTGTTTGTGTATGCATTTTTCGACATCAATTATAGAATTATTTACTGAGTATTTCTTAAAATACTCAAGTGAAGTGTGTTAGTAATTATTTCTTATTTTGCAAATAAAGGTAAAACATCTTTGTATCACTAAATCATACCTAAGAATTGTGTTAGTAATTATTGGTTATCATCGTAGAAGCACATGCATCACATTATACATAACTACCTAGATCATTAATTATAGAAACTTGTGTTAATCATACAACATTTAATTCATTCAACGAACCCCGGAAGCTTTAAGGCGTTCTAGCAATACGTTCACTTATTCGAGGTCCAATAAAGTCCAATTTTACTATCAATAAAAGAGCCTTGAACCAATTCAAAACCAAAGGAATTCAATTGATCTGACCCCACAACGATTTTTTATTTGAAGGTTTGCTCTCGATCGTCGCCAGTTTTTGTCAACACTTCAAGCCGCATGCAAAGCCTCTGTACGCAACCTTCTCCTTTGTTTCTCGTTAACTGGTTCACAGGACCTTGTCTAGTGCTAACCTCTCAATTCCTTCTCAATTTTGCTCATCTCTCTTGAGATATTACTCTCTCTCATTTTCATTGTCCCATAGTGCATTTGATTTATAGGTCTAATGGGTCAAATTAAGTTGGAGTCGGCTACTCTCTCGTGACACTCGGAGAAAATGAGGGATACATGAATTAACTATAACCACATATGAACGAAAGTAATTCAGATGATAGAATGATTAATAAAGATATAAAAGAATTGAAAGCCACTACATTTACCAACAAAGGGTACTTACCTTTTCGATGACTCAATCATAAGAACTCCATGGTTGAACATGCATTACTGGAAGCAATTCTATAGTGGGGACAAAGCATTTTGGAAGGAATCGTGATGGTATGTGGGGATAGTCTTTACTCTTAAGAAGTAAGGAATAGATAACGTGGCCATATCACAGGGGATTTAGGGGAATGCGAGTGCTATCAAATGCCGAATCCAGATTTTGAATCCTAATTTAAATCCTAGGCATGAGGCATCACTACCTATACCAACAAGGTGTACATTTCTTTTTAATTGCTCAATTATAAGAACTCTATGGTTAAATGTGCTTTACTTGAAGTGGGTAACCTCTTGAGAATTTTTCTGGGATGCATGTGAATGAGAACAAAACATGTTAGAATAACTCGGGTTGATCGTGGGATATTCTTAATTCTTAAGAACATAACTCGTATTGATCGGTGGAATAGTCTTAATACTTATGAAATGAGAATTAGGTAATCCGAACATATATAGAGAGGTAGTACACATCGACTTATACTAAAAAATAAAAGTATAATCCAAGATGAGTCATAATTTTAGATCCCACCAACCATGCTAAAGATTGCATGTGTCTGCATTTTCCGGACTCGACAATAATGTCACCTACTAAATATTTTAAAACACTCAAACTTTTTCTCTGTTTTTTATTTTATTTTATTTACAACTAGAGTTTAGTTTTATAGTTTTAAGTTTCCAATGGACTATACTCAAAATTTGAAGAGTTCTAGGTAAGATCTAACTATTTTTGTCTGAAATTAATTAACGATTTCATCACGTGTTACTAAGGTTGTTATACTATATATATATATATAAAAAAGGGACAAAACTATTGAAGATATTAAATTTAGTATCCCTCCAAATTTAAACCTTTGGGTAACTGAGTTGGTAGAGGTAGTTGCACATGGCTGGTTGCCTTGATTCACCTCCTCATGCTTGACGTTTTTTCTTGATTCCGACGAACACCTAGAACAACCAACCCCACTTGGTTTAATGTGATGGAAACCTATTGTCATAAGATATTTAAACATATTTTTTTGGGTACGGAGTTTGAATGAGATCCAACGGAGAAATATAGTATTACTATCTTAGCACGTGATAATTGAAGTTTACGTACGAAACTTCTTTATAACACATTTAATGATATAAAAATATTGAAATCTTCGTATTTTTTTTTTGTATTAAAAATATCCTTAAAACTTTCCAATGTTTTAGATAAAAAGCTGACTCGTATGCTTACAAACTATCGATATTATGTAGATCATACTCCTCATACCAAGTTTATTATCGGATAATTTATATAATTTCCACGTAATGAACTAACTGCACTTCATAACATGTGTATCTATGACACGATCCTAGAAGACCTAATTCACTAATTCCAACATGAACCTTATCTACTTAGATAGGTTACTGTTAAAGATGTTAAAGATGTTAAAGGTTAGGTTAGGTGACAATCTTTTAATAGTCATCAACTTATATTAATACATTGGACCTATTTATTTTTATTTTTTTTTTTTTATAATAAATACTCAACTATTATTATTATTATTATTATTTATTCCAATTTTATTTTTTTAAAAGTTCAAATATTACCGTCTTAAATTTTGTGACGACAAGAGGTAAACAAACGCCTCGTGACAAGGGTAAATGAGCAAATATGCATCGCTTTATATAAGCTAAATTAATAAATATACTTTTAAAATTTGCACTATATCTAAAAAAAATACTCTAAAACTTATAAAAGTG